AACTAATAGATCAATCATCATGAGGAGGGATGCAGGGAAGAAACAGATTCAAGGTTGAGGGCTGTTTCAGGGTCAATGTGGAAGGGCAGAGATGGCTAAATGGACTTGAAAGTGTTGATGAGACTGAGTTTGAAATAAATCATCATGGAGTCCAGGGTAGAAAGGGAAGAAAGCAAAACCAGATGAGGGAACACATTTGGAACTGGGAGACTGTAAACTACAGATTTCACTGAAGCTGAAGAGCAGGTTTGGTGAGGGTAAAGGAATAAGAATATGCAAAAAAAAGAAAGTTTTGTTTTGAATGTGGAATACCTTGCTTACTGATTCAAAGGTGGAACGGGACTTCCCTGGTGGCGCAGTGGTTAAGAATCCACCTGCCAATGCAGGGGACATGGATTCAAGCCCTGGTCCTGGAAGATCCCACATGCCGTGGAGCAACTAAGCCCTTGCACCACAACTACTGAGCCTGCCCTCTAGGGCCTGTGAGCCACAACTACTGAAGCCCACGCACCTAGAGCCCATGCTCTGCAACAAGAGAAGCTACTGCAATAAGCCCGCGCACCGCAACCAAGAGTAGCCCCTGCTCACCACAACTAGAGAAAGCCCGCACACAGCAACGAAGACCCAACGCAGCCAAAATAAATAAATTTATTTAAAAAAAAAATCTTCTCCTTAAGATCCTTTCACCCCTAGAGTGTTGGAATGAGGGTGAAATGGAGTTTGAATGGCTTAATGGTGAAAGCCATAAAACAGGGGTAGTCGACCTTAATACAGATGTAGTGACAAGTTAGGAGAATGCCAGCCTTTATTTCTGGTTCAGGATATTGAAGATGGCGGGGGAGAAGGAAGAACTCCATTTGAAAGGGCTTCAAGGGAAGCAGTGAACTTAAGGAAAACATTAGATTTTAGACTAGATTAAAAGGTGACAGCAGTGCTCTAGGAAAAGGTTAGATGTGTAAGGATGTTTCTTTGAATTAGCATGGGTTTGCTTATAAAAAAGCTAAAACTTTATTCTGTTAGCATCTGGGAGCTTCCCAAGTTTTATGCAGGGGACTGACAAGTGCTTTGAAGTTCAGAAAACTCATCCTGACAGTAGTGGCAGTATGGTAGATGTACTGGCAAGGAGTATAGAGAGGTTCCTTTGGAGAAAAAGTGTTGGTATAAAGGTCCATCTCACACAGGTGATGAGGCCTCATCATCAGCCTACTAAAACAATGGGGTCAGCTACCTAGGAAGTAGAGACTATAGAACTGAATGGACAGTGGGGGAGAGTAAGGGACGCAGTGGACAAAGCAGTGGCCAGATCTTTTACCTTTCTGAACCTGTTCTAGATTGTTCCAAGCACTTCTAATCCTCTATTGAGCCTGGATATGTAATTGCTAGTTATCTCCAGTTTACCTTCCTTCTGTCTTTTCTGTCCCCCAAATCCACTTATTTTGATCTACTATTTGATATTCTACTTGTATATTTTTAAAAAATTTTGGTCTTGCTATTCCCTTTTAGTACACCTTCTGGCTATACCAGTGTGGTAATAAAACTTTCTGATGGTAAGAATCTAAGGGCAGTGTGATACAGTGGAAAGAGCAGCAGCCTATAAGTCAAAAGGGCTGCTTCCCAGTCCCAATCCTGCCATGAAATTCTTGTACGACTTTGGTTAACTCATTTCTTCTTTGGACCTCACTTTTTTTTAATTTAGAAAATGAATCTCTAAGGTCTTATCCATTTCAATTTGCCTACCTGTACAATACCACAGGAGCTATTTTCAGATATTTTCATGATAATGGTGAAATCCACCTTCTCCAACAGAGTACTACAAAATTAGAATGGTGGATGGTAGGCATCTTGAAGTTTGTTCCAAGAAACCTGCTTAATCTGCTTTGTGAATAGAGGAATAAAGTTTGAGATAGGTACTGTATTCCAATGCATTTTCTCAGACCAGAGGTAGAGGAGAGTGGTTCTTACTTTATTTACCATACATTTCCTGGAGTCAAAGTGCCTTCACTTGAATTCATGGCTCTGCTACTTACTAGCTTGTTACACTGGGCAAACTACTTGAAGTCTCTGTGCCTTAGTTTCTTCATCCATAAAATGGGGGTAATAATATATCTCATAAGGCTATTGTGGAGATTAAACAAGTTTATTAGGTGTGTAACAGCATCTGGAACAGAGAAAGCCATCGATAAGTATTAGCTATTATTCTTATGTGCTAGGCACAAGAGTGTACAGACTCTTGTGCCTCCTTAAAGAGCTCACTGCCTGGTCAGAAATATTTTCAAACAAATGACCATAACTCAGTGTTCTGAGTTCTGTAACAAGATGTATAATAAGTGGTGTAGGAGCAGAGGCAAGAATGCCTGTCTCATCCTAGAGAGAAAGGCAGGGGCAGGACAATATTCTTGAGGGTAAAGTTTGAGTCTGATTCTTAAAGAAGAGAATTCAATGTTGGGAACATTTGGGAATATGGAGCAGTAACCGACAGCATGGGGAAGGCAGTTTCTTGCTGCAAAAGACAAATACGGTTCCAAGGAAAGGGAGGATGTGTGGTAGATCAGAGGTAGTAGTTGATGCCAGAGCATCGCAGTTGAGAGTTTGTTAGAAATATAGGCTCTTAGGCGCTACCCAGACCTACTCAATTAAAATTTGTATTTTAACAAGATACTCAGGTGATTCTTTGAACACTGAAATTTAAGAACCACTAGTCCAGAGCACACACTGGAGCCAAGCTGCTTAGGTTTAAATCCTGGCTTTACCATTTACTTATTATCATCATTATTATTATTATTATTATTATTATTTGGTCGTGCCACTGCAGCATGGGGGATCTTAGTTTCTCGACCAGGGATGGAACCCATGCCCCCTGCAGCGGAAGCGAGGAGTCTTAACCACTGGATCACCAGGGAAGTCCCACCACTTACTTATTTATTTACTTATTTAAACATCTTTATTGGAGTATAACCACCATTTACTTATAACGTGTAACTTTAGGCAAGCTATTTCACCTCCTTCCTATGCCTCAGTTTCCTCATTTGTAATTAGATAATAGTTTCTACCTCATAAAGTTGTTTTAAGGATGGAATAAATATTTTAAATGCTTAGAACAGTACTTGGCACCTACCAAGCCCAAGTATAAGCGGAAGGACTATAAGATATTCAGGGGACTGTAAGAAGAGAATTCACCCAAATCCTATAGATTGGGTGAATTCCAGTCGAAGATCTGGAGTTATAAAGCCCAACTCCCTTCAATTGGGTGAGTTCCTGAATATCTGTGTTTTTCTCACTCCTAGCAGGGGGTAATCTTAATTATACCTGCCTCACTAAGATACTCAAATCAAAAAATATATGTTCAACTACAAAATCTTCTATTAAAGTTTCATTTATCATCTTTCCAAGAGTTACGTATCTGGCCAGAAAGCGGTGGTACCTCAATTCAGTAGGAAATAGATGGAAAAGAATGCATTGGAAGATCAGGGAGGGAGTGGTGGGAAAGCCAGGAGACTATTTGTCCCACTTCCTGACTTTCTGAAGGGGCAGACTTGGGTTTCAACAATAACAATTTTCCTGGGCCTCAGAGAGGATTTTTAGCTAATGGGCAAATAGTACACAAATGCCGTTATTTATTTTTTCTTCCTAACCTAACCTACAATGGAGATTCAAGAACATGAACAGTCTCACACGTTTGTATAGTGGTCCAAAATTTACAAATAACTTTTCTCTACTTTGTTTTTGTTTGTTTGTTTGTTTTTTAGCTGTACGCGGGCCTCTCACTGTTGTGGCCTCTCCCGTTGCTGAGCACAGGCTCCGGAAGCGCAGGCCCAGCAGCCATGGCTCACGGGCCCAGCCGCTCTGCGGCATGTGGGATCTTTCCAGACCGGGGCACGAACCCGTGTCCCCTGCATCGGCAGGCGGACTCTCAACCACTGCGCCACCAGGGAAGCCCTTCTCTACTTTGTGTATCACAACATCCCTATAGGGTAATATTAACCTAACATTTTATAAGAAAACTTTGTTAATATCATAAAGCACATTAAAAACTCCTTTCCATTTGAGTATTTTTACCATATCCGATGTCTCCCAAAGTACAAAATTTAAAAGGGAGAGCAATCACAAAACTTGATTGGATCTTCAACAGTAGCAGGTACTGGCTTCGATCTTATGGCCGCGATTATTTGTATATTGGGCCCCTTTTCTCACCCGTAAAACAGGGGCAACAATACCCTCTTCACACAACTGTTTTGTGATTAAACACGAACAAAGGCTGAAGGGTGAACCTACCACGTCGCAGGGCCTCAAATAAACCCCTTCTCCTTCTTGCCTTTGACAGATATAGCACTATCATTCCTACTTCACACGCGGAGAAACCCAAAGTCGAGAACGCTCGGGTTCCTCTTCTCTACTTGCAACTCCGCAACCCCCAGATCGGGTACGCGCAACTGCGATATCCACTTTGTCAGGTGTCGTAGCGTGTATTCTCTCTCCTCGAGCTGCGTCTGATGGGGCTGGAGGCCGCTGATAATTGCTTCCAAGACTCTTGAGGAATCCGATCCTAATCCTCAACGGCGCTTCAGGAACGAACATGCTTTCCCACCGTCCCTTACCCCCCCTAGAATAAAGGTCGCGTGGAACCTTCAGCTTCAGCTACCAACGCCATCTTGGCCACTACGTGTGACGCCACACGTAGCGGAGAGCGCAGCCCATTGGCTGGGAGGCTGCAGGCGGAGGCGAGGCGCGCGAAGCCGGAGAGGAGGGTGTGGAGGACAAGCCAAGGAAACTACAATCCCAGCCTTCCTTGCGCGTGCACAGCAAGAGCGAAAGAGGAGGGAGTTTGGGTTCGGACCACAACTCCCAGCACCCCTCGCGATGTCTCTCCTTTCCTTTCAAAACGTGCAGGAAAAGAGGGACAGAAGAATGGAGGCCTTCTGGTGTCCGTTCTCCGAAAGGCGGGAAAGGCGAACTACACCTCCCGACTGGCAGCGCGCCGCTGCGCCTGCGCCTTGATACTTGTCGCCATCTTGCCCCTTCTGAGGCACAGCAAACAAACCCAATTCCTGGTGTCCCCTAGTCTTGGCGGAGGAGCCTTTTAGATGAGCCCAGAAAGGCCGGGCAGGTGGGTGACTCTTAGGCAGGGTGCTGGGAAGAACTGGCAGGATAGCCAGTCTGGAAGAGCGCCGGGCCAAGCGTTCGGAGCCCGGCTTGGGGCGCCCAATCCCATCCTCCGTTGTCTCCTAACGGGATCGTGGGGCTCCCGAGGTAGGCTGAGGGGAACTCTGGCAGGCCTGGTGCTGAGATTGCTGGGGTCCAGCTCTGGGGGCCTCCCAGTGAGTCTCGGTCGTCTGCCTGGCTGTCCGAGCGTCTACTCTTTCTCTCCGTTGTCCTCTCCGCTGAGGAGGGAGAGAGGCGCTGATGCCTGCCGGAGCCCCTGACTCCGGCTACTGGTGCTGAGAGGGCTTGGGTCGTGAGCTTGACATTGGGGTGAGCGCTGAGCGGCACCGGTGAGGAGGGTGGGCGGGCTGCTCTTGTTGTGGTGCTGCGAGAGAGTGCGTGTTTGGGGAGGGGGCGGGGCGGGCTTGCCTCCTTGACACTTGAGTGGGGGAAGGGTTAGACAGGATTCCGGTTCTCGGAGCGGGCTCCGGCAACCTCTGCCCAGGTTTCCAGTGCGATGCGGCCCCGCAATGGGGTCCGCCGGCGGGGACGCGTCGGGATGCTGTGACGTGGTGCTTGATTCCGGCGGTCGCCGGCCGCCTCCAAGATCCTGTCGGGAGGCGGGGACTGGCTTGTGGAGGGAGCGGATTCCTTTGGCTCTGCCCCTTCTTCCTCCCCACCCCTTTTCTTTATGTCATTCTGCCGGCTGGGGCGCGCACTCCAGTTCTCCTTGCTCTGGGTTGGTTCTTAGATGAGAGGACTATGGGAAGTAGGGGGAGGGGGTTCAACTTCAGGCGTGGAGTTGGAGTTAGCAGTCCCAGCTCTTGGAACGGGAGATAGCAGTTATTACGGGTCGATGCCTGACTCCCAGACAAGACACTGAGCTCGCTTATTCATACATCCACTCGCTCATTCATGTTAGTTGCTCTTCTCAGTCATTCATCTGTTTATTTAACAGATATTTACAGCGGATCTGCTGTGTGCTAAGCAGGTATAGTGCAAGGGCCCAGCGCTGTTTTCTTTTTCTCTAGACCAGGGAATTCCCAGTACCAAGTTCCTGACATCTAAACTTTTGGTAAACGTTTTTTTGAGGACTGCTGGGTGTAAATTCATGTTTCATTGTTAAGACTCGAGGAGAAAGTACTATATTAAGTTCCATTAACCCACTTAACGTCCTAGGAACTTTACGTATTTTATTTCATGTAGCTAATAATGAGAAGGCCGGCAGAAGTCAAGTGACTTGCCCAAGGTTACACAGGTAGTGGCACCTATTTATGAAATAATGTGTCAGCCACTAGGATAAGAACTTCACATACACTGTTAGTTAATCCTCATAACAAACTGATTGATAAAAATCTGTTTCACAGATGTGTAAAGTTTATGTTCAGATAGGCCAATTTACCCAGGATCACACAGCCAGTAAGTTGAAAGGTTGAATTAGAACCTATATGTGTCCAACGCCTATGCTCTTTCCACTATGATAGGCTGGAATAGTAAGTTCGCATATGGTTAAATTCTTCATTTATCAGAAGTTGGAAAGCATGGAGGTGAAATAGGACTGTAAGATATTCTTACTGCTCTTGCTTCTTAGCGTGTGGATCTCCACATGAGTGGGCTTTTGAATGTACTTTCGTAATTTGAGTTTTTGGTTTTTGTTTTGGTAGGGAAGACAAGCTCTTTGGGGCTACCAAAAAGAAGCAGCAATGCCTGTTGTGTGGCCAACGCTTTTGGATCTCAGCAGGGATGAATGCAAAAGGATTCTTCGAAAATTGGGTATGATTTTCATTTTTGATGTTTCATGCCTCCCTATGATCCTTCTCCCTTTCTGTTTGGGTCATGGCTGTTTGCATGGATATCATATTTCATGATGGTTAGAAATTCTTTAGAGGTATAGTTCTTGTCTTACTCTGTTATTTCCCTAGTGCTTTGTATAGTGCTTTGTACACAGTAGATGCATGAATCATATTAATAATAATAGCAGCTAAAAGTTCTTCAGGGCTACTGGGCTATTCTGAGTCCTTTGCATTCAGCATCTCATTTAATCCTCATTCAAACCAAAAAGATAGGTATGTTTCTTCTTTTGTCCCCATTTTACAGATGACAGACCTGAAGCTTAGAACCCAAAGTAATGCTGATAGTAAGTCATGGGGTCAGAATTTCAACCCAGGGAATAGGATTCCAGTCTCATGTTAACATACTTTTAACCTTCATGAATGTATGTGTGAATTACATACTGTTTCTGAATTCTAAGTTAATGTAAGCTATGCTGACTTTAACAAATTATATTTTACTTTCAGTAATAAAACACCATTTACACCTGTAATGAATTATTTAGTGCTTCTTTTCCTTTAGAGCAGCCTTTCTCAACTAGCATTTAGGGAGAGAATTAAGCCCTAATACTAAGTTATCCATTGTATGTAATGAACTAACTTTTCTTCCTGCATCTAGAATGGTATGTATTATCCTTGGGAAAATTGAGAAGAAAAAGAGTTATTCAAATCATTTTCTGTATTCTGTGGTTTCCATGAGTATCCTTGGTTGAGAAATGCAGCCTTAGACTGTAAGGTCCAAGAAGGAACCTTTTTGTCTTATTTATCAGTATAGTCTCAGGCCAGCACATAGTAGGGACTCAGTAAATGAAAAAATAATTTGAAAAAGAATATTAGATGTTTTGGCAGTGGATAGGAATTATTTAGATATCTATGACTTTGAAGGGGAAAGTGTGGACCTTGAATTCAGATAGACCTGGGGTCTTGGTCCTGTTACTAATGACCGACGTGATCCAAGGACAAGTTGTTTAATCTCCCTAAATCTGTTGACACTTTTGTAAATGAAGGACAATAATATCTGCCTCATAAGTTTATGTGGATTAAGTGTATATAAAAAGGGCCTATCACAGTGCCTGACATCTGAGTATATAGCGTTTTAAAGCAGTTGCTTTCAGACATTTATTTATTTGCAGGTGAATCTTTTCTTCAAAGGAAATCTTTGTTGGGAATTCCTATGCATAAATCTGAACCATAGCAAATCTGGCCCTGCCTGCTAATAACCTTTGCCCTTTTTATTTCTCCTTAGGCCACTATGAGGATTTCTATATTTTAAACTACCTCTTAGCATTGTATTTTAGCACCTCTAGAGAGGTTTTTTGTTTTGTTTTGGGGTGGGTTGGTTTTTTGGGGGGTCAGTTATTCCTTTTTTTTTTTTAACCTTATATCCAAACTTTTAGTACTAATTCGAGGGTGAATTTCTACACACTTATATGCAGTTGCTCTAACTTGCTAGCTACCAGTTATAAAGTTGGATTTTTATTTATTTCATAGCTGAAATAATTGCAGATCACAACTGAAGTTGATTGCATTAGAGTTTCTGGGCTTTTGGGACCTTGAATCAAGAGATTATGTTTGAATATAAAAATTGTAACCTTTAAGTCTAAATTTATCCTTAATTTTAGTCAGAGTTGTGTGGGTAATATTGCTGAAGAGCTGCTTCTGTACAAAAGAAAACAGCCTTCCTAGAGGGTAACATCATCTTCAATAACCCTTCTTTTGGGAGGTGAGCCTTGAGAGTGATTTGCGGAAAGACTTCCTCCCCACCTATTGGCTCATTATCATAACGGTGAAACCCTTGAATTGCTTTCAAACACTAGCTCTAGGTCCAAGTTTAGAGAAGGTACTGTATTTAAAAATTAGCTTAAAATATTTTAAGAATTAGCTTTAAGGGGCTTCCCTGGCGGTGCAGTGGTTGAGAGTCCACCTGCCAATGCAGGGGACACGAGTTCGTGCCCCCGGTCCGGGAAGATCCCACATGCTGCGGAGCGGCTGGGCCCGTGAGCCATGGCCGCTGAGCCCGCGCGGCCGGAGCCTGTGCTCCGCAACGGGAGAGGCCACAACAGTGAGAGGCCCGCGTACCGCACGTACAAAAAACAGCCTTTATACCCAGGAGTAAAATTGCTGGATCATATGGTAGTTGTATTTTTAGTTTTTTGTGGAACCTCCATACTGTTCTCCAAAAAAAAAAAAAAAAAAAAAGAATTCGCTTTAAAACAATTCTTTTTAAAAATGTTATAAATTATTTTAACATCAGATGCTAAACATTACATTTTACTTAAATGTAGAGAAATTGGGATAGAGAATTTCTTTATGACACACTGAACATACCAGTGATAGATAAATGCTTCCTTCCTTCTATCCTGCCTCTCCCCTGCCCTATTTTTTATGACCATTCCTGAACTGTAACTCTTACAGTAAGAGGCTTTATGAACTATAGTATAATTGAATGGCTGTTTTTTTTAATGGAATGGGTTGAGGGCTTTATAAAAATAGTTTGGCAAATCTTTTGTTTTCTGTGTTTTTTCGTGTGTTATTTCGTTATACTTATGCGTCATTAGAGTTAACACTGTAATAGAATGGTACCAAAAATAATACCAGAAATTCAACTGAGTTTGATATTTGTCAGAATCTTAGGATTCTCATCAAATGAAATCCACAAATGTGAATGAGGTTGGGAAGCTAGTAAAAGTTCTTTACAATGAGTGAGTTTCTCATTGAATGAAGGGGGGAGGTATGCATTGGATTGTGTAGCTATGAGAACTGTGTTCTGAGTTACAGTTTTGTGTGAGGTTGCCACCTCTTACTTTTGTGCATGACTTATTAGTTGGACTTGGAATGAGACTTGAGATGTCAAGAATCTTTGTCTTTCTTTAGTTAATTTCACTTTTTTTGAAATACTGTGAAATAGTGAAATTTTGATCACCATAAATTCCACACGCCAAAAGTGAAGTTTTTCCTCAAACCACTTCCTCTCTCTGACCTCTCCATTTCTTTTTATGGTATTGCCATTCTACTAAATATCTTGGAAACTGAAAAACCTGATTCTTTTCCTTCTGCCATTCCTTCCACATTTAATCAATCACTGAGTTCTATCAAAAACTTTTTAGACTGGAAATGGTGGCTTTTCTTAGTCTGGCCCCAAATAGTTTTTCCATTTTTATCCTTCTTGGATTTTAATCACCTTGAGGATAAGGAATTTGTTTTGTTCATATAAAGATTCTCCATGGTACCTTGTAGTAGTAGTGTTCAATTAGTAGTTTGGTTTGAATTAGCAACTAACCAAGTACGGACATATTTTTACTTTCCCTAGTGTAAAACTCTCAAAATAGTCACTGACTATTACTGGAAGTTTAATGTCTCTGTGAAACATATGCTCTTTTACTCTCTCTGTTCCTTTTGCACATTTGCATTTCCCCCACTGCCTGCCTAGAGCACAGTTCTCTTTCTGATTAAAGCTTATGCTTCCAGACTAGATGATGTGTTTTTCTTCTGTGCCTTTACCACTGTATTGTAAACTGTATCAGAATTGTCTGATGACTTGTTTCACTGTAGCTTTATTCTAGAGTTAACTTCTTAAGGGCAGGATTTAGCATACTATCTGGTATATATAATAGGACTCAATACTGATTTGTTGAATAAAATATTCCATAAGTGGGGCATAAACATTTAGATATAGTGGTTTCTTAGTTATCCCCAGTGTCTTTCTGAACTCTACTTTAGGTCCTGATAAAAGCTGAAATATATGTTTCCTGGAACAAAGTATTTTCTTCACTACTCCAGAGAAGCAGAGTTTGGCCTTCCAGAGAGACCACATGAAACATCTACGTAATATCCAGCCTAGATTGAACATGCAGGATGTTTACACATGGGATAATTCAGTTGGACCAGACATTTCTATTTAAGCTCACTCTTCTATATAAAGTCTTTTCTTTTGATAGAACTGTGACTAATATGAACTGAATGAGGCTACTGTTTTATTGTTGGTGTAGTACCTTGGATACAGGTATGCATGCCTTAATTATTTGGCTAATATTCAGTATCTGTTGTATGTAAGGCGTTGGCAAATACGGTAGCAACTTGAATTGAGTAAGAAGATAACTGTAGTCTGGACACTTATTTCCCATCATTTTGTTTTGCTCAGGTATACTTGTCTCATAGTGTTAATGGTTTGAAACAACTATTTTATTATTTCTCATGATTCTATGGGTTACTTGTCTTGCCTGAGCTCTCTCATGTGGCTCTATTCAGCTGGTAGCTTAGCTGGTTAATTGGGCTCAGCTGAGGTGGCTGGGCCTCTCTCTCCATGTGACCTTTCATCCTGGGCTTCTTCATAGCTTGGTGATCTCAAGCTTCCAAGAGAGCAAGGTCCTGCTATTTGCATCATGTATGCTGATGTTCCATTGGCCAAATCAAGTCACATGCCAAGCCCAGAGTCAGTGTGGGAGGGACTATTGGAAGGTAGTACATGAGGAAGTACACTGAGAGGCAGGCATGGTTCATTGGGAGCCATTGAGGGCTTTTTGGTTTTATATTTTAACCACTACTAGGGACTGACAGTTTCATTAAATAACAGTTGTTGCTGTGGAAAGTTAGTGAAATGAAACTGTCTGGCATTAGGGTTCAGTGTATTATGTCCTGATTGCTGTAGGAGCAATTCATGTGTGCTAATCTGCCTTAGTCATTTTGCTGGTGGTTTTTATAGATGCAGAGGATCATAGAAATGGAAGGTACCTTCAAAGTATCTTCTAGATAAAGAAACTGAGGATCAGAGATGAGAAAGGACTTGTCCAAGGTCACACAACTAGTGTCAGTGCTGGAGCCAGAATCTGGTCATTTGACTCTTGATCCAGTAGTTTTTCACTTGCACACTATTCACAGATAGAATATAGGTCAAATTCCTAGGCAAGCCTAAGGAATTATTTCAAAGTTTGGCCAGTAAAGGTACCTATCAATAATGCTAAAAGCTTCTCTCATCAGCCTTATTATATCACTTGGAACCTGTTCCCAGGTGTTGGTAGCATCTGAGTTGAATGTTCTTCAGGATGATGCGTAAGACGAAATATTTACCATTAGATTTTTCTACCTAAACTTTTTATATACATGACTTCTGTGAGGCAGTAAAAAAGAAAATAAGATTATAAAAGCCACATTTTAACCTATGGTTTTAGATAAAATTTTTGAGAGGATATTAATGAAATATTCGCATATTGATTTTTAGGTTTCCTGCCCTGAAGTTTCACTCTATGTAGCCATAGTACTTAAATATTGATGGCCTATCTTGATAAAATAATTTTCTTCTTCTAGAATTGGAGGCATATGCTGGAGTTATCAGTGCACTTCGGGCACAGGGAGATCTCACCAAGGAAAAGAAAGATCTTCTTGGAGAACTCTCAAAAGTTCTTAGGTAAATTATCATAAAAGTTTGTGAGAGATGAGTCTAGAAATTTCATTTTGAGGTGTTTCAATACTTTTCACTCTTAAGCTGAAGACAGAGGTGTCAAGTTGTTGGTGTTTAGAGATCCCATCCCAGTTGTGTGCTTTGTTATGGAAAATTTTGTAATTTACCATTTATTATGTAATCTAATCAGAAAAGGTTTAAGGCAGGTTATCTTAGGTTTGGGCTGCTTGGAAAAGGGAGGTATTTTTGACCTGGGTGAAGGAAAGAAGAGCTGGCAGCGACTGGATAGGAAGATCTAGAGTGGCCCAGTGGCATTTGTTAGGGGGTAGAAGGAGACACTAGGAAGTTGTTGTCTTAATTTATAGAAATGGGTGGTGATTAATAGTCATAGCCTTAGGGATAGTTTATCACTTCAGCTTCCCACTAGAGTTAAAAAAATTTATTAAAAAATTCTGGTGAAAGGGATTCTTTGATACTTTGCCTTGATCCATTCTTTTTTTTGTCTTTTTTTTTTTTTTTTTTTTTTTTTTTTTTTTT